ATAAGTAGCACAAATGTAGTTTAGAAATCTTTAATATAATTCTTCTATTATTTAATAAAGTTTTTACTTTGGCATTTTAAAAAAAAAAATACATGTAAGAGTTTAATAATTGAAACAATATATCTAACTTGTTTCAATATTTCAAAAAAATCACTAGCACTAATGTGATAAATTATAGTTTGTTATATATATAATTATTTATAAGTGCTATTAATGTCTGTATTTTTAAATAATTTTTAGCATATCATCAAAAGCATTCAAATAATCTTTAATAAAGTAAAGCAATCTATGCTTCAAATCTACTAATTTAGTATTATCTATGCTTTGATTAGTTTTATATTGCTAATTCTGTCATTATAATAATGAATTAGAAGATATTTTATTCACTTATTATGAGTTTCTGGTTTAGATATCAAATTGTTAAATGTTGGTTTTCATTCTATATAACTAAGTTATAAATAAAGAAAAAATCAGAATTAGTATTTATTATTATAATTTTTGCATTAATACCTCTTTTATTATAGATGTTATTATTTTGATTAGAATTATAAAAGAAGATTGATACTACTTCTAACAGGGCTTTTAAAAAAATTATAACAAAATAATAAACTTTATAGACAGTAGTTGTATCATTGTAACAGAATTCATATATATTATACTAGGAACAGAAACTGTTAAAGTCTGAAGTCTAGATATTTAAATAATTTTTTTATTAGATTTTATATCTTGATTTGGGTTTTGAAATACTCATTTTTGTAGCATCTATCTTAATTTTTAGTTTTATATAAATTTTGACTTAATAAGATCTATAATAATATTATATAATATAATTAATAATTAGTTAGTGATAACATTAAATTAATATTTAAAAAATATACAATGAGATTTTTTTATGCCTTTTTGCCCTTACTATAATAAGTTTTAATAAGTTTTATTGGTTTTATAAATAATATTTAGAGTATTAAATATAAATATAGATTTTTTATTTGACTATTATATAGGAATTATTGGTTTATAATTTGTTAAAAATGTTTAAGATGCCATAATTATTATTAGTAAAGTAATTATTAATTTGAGTAATAAATATATTAATAAATTAATCTTTGTTAATAAATTAAATATAATGCATATTAAGTAATTAATTTTTTTTTTTCAATCTTTCTTATAATCTTAAACAATTTTTGATATATTTAATTCTTTCAAAGAAAAATAGTTTGAAAAGAATATCTTGAAGCTCTTAGTTCTGAAAAACTGCAACAAAGAAAAAATCAGCTGCAAATTCTTTTGTACTGAGATTTATTACAGCTTTTTGTAAAGTGTGTTCTTAGTTTTTGTAAACTGTAATAGCTCATACAAGGCAAATAAAAATTTGTTAATATAAGCATGAGCCAGATTTGCCTTTTCAAATGCATCTAATAAGTGGAATTGGTATAACATCAATTTCTATTAGAGTTTTAATTGAAAAACTATTATAGTTATCAAATGCAATAAGTATAGCAATAGAAAGTAAAGAAGGCTTTTGATTCTTTGCAAAAATAATATCTATAACAGTTCTTATTACACTATTAACTAATTTAGCAAATGTTTATAAATTGGCTGTAAGCATAATTTTTGCATCTTTGACTATTAAAAGTTGTGCTACAAGTCCTTATGCTACATCAGAGTCAGCTGTAAAAGCCTCTTTACTACTACTATGCACAGCAAGAATTTTGGTAACAGAGCAATGTAATAATTTAGACATATTAATGTTAATTTTATCAACATCCAACTATTTTGTTAAAATATAAATAGTTTTAAAAAATTAATTGTATTCAACTCTGAATAATCTATTTTCAAATCAAATTACTAAAACTTCACAGTTTTCTAAAGTTGATTTTCCATTATGTAGTCTTAACAAAATATTTCTAAACTGACATTAATTATCTGAATTTCTGTATTGATGTTGAATTATTTCAAGTTTGTAAATTTTCTGGAACTGAGAGTAAGCTATATAACTATTATTTGATACTGAATTATATTATGAGGACTTTTTATATATATAGAAAGATTACAAACTAGTGGAAGTTAGCCAAAGTCACTAACAAGAATCACTTATCTGTTACCAAATAGCATATTTTTATATTCTAAGAGGACTTGGCATAGTTGCACATCTATTATAGCAAGCATTCTATAGACTACTATACTTATTTTGTCAATAATAATATAAATAATATCTTGAAGCCTTTTTTGTAACTAATTTAGTTTTCCTTTATCTATATCATAACACATTTCAAAAATTAAAATAAAAAATGCAGAGTAAATAATAATATAATTTATATTATATATAGCAACTTTTGCTGGAACAAGTATAAGTATGGGTAATTTAAAATTATGTTTTATTATAATATTATTAAGTTGATTAAAGATTATTTTAATTAAGTATAACTTTTTAGTTTCAGCTGTACCTATAATAATTATCTTTAATAAATTAATACTCTGATTAGTATAATGCAATTTAATTTATTTAAAGATAATTTATTGAACATCATTTAATGTATAGTCTTTAATAATTATAACAATTAAATTTTTAGCATCTTTATTTTTAATTGATGCATGTTTTATAAAGTTTGCTAAATCAATATTTGAATAGTATTTGTTACTAACAGTCTACTTATAGTTTTGGTCTATGTTGCATGTTCTTAAATTGAGATTAGAATTAGAATTAACAGTGTTCAGGTCTATTCTGCTAGGTGCATCCAATTAGATTAAAATTTATCTAATAATTCATTTTGTTCATCATTTTTAACTATATGGTTTTTATTATTAGCAATCTGATTGTCATTGTTGAACAAGTTATCTAGTGTAAAACTAAGTATATTATTAAAATTAGTTTCTATTTCTGTAAAGTAAAAAGCATATAAATCTATCTAGAAATAATATTATTTCTTGTTAATTGCTAAAAAGACTTATAAGATATATGTAAAAGTATTTTTATATAACAAAAGTTTTTTTATTCAGAGTTATTACATAATAGTGATAAATATAGTAAAATTTTTACAACATTATCATGTTGTATTTTTTTTAATAACTATTAACTAAATAATAGTTTAAGTAAAAATAAAAAAATAATATATTATTAAGTTCTATAGATCAATTCCAATATAATTGTAGAGAAGATTTAGCTATTTTTTCAAAATTATTAATATCTGATACACTATCTTATTTATTTTGTCAATTTCTATTATTACAAAAGTAATAAGATGCATTATTATTAAGATTCAGTATAACAAATTTATAACTTAAATTATAAAAAATAGGGTTTTTTAATATAGTGCATATGCATAACAGTGCATCCTATAGTCACATAATATAAAATTATATATAACACTAATATTGTTACGATCCAAAATAGGATCATCGATAATATGTACAAGATCGGGCATACATGCAGTATATTTAGTAAATATAACATATGTAATAGATATAGCGTATATAGAGTATACAGCATATATAGCGTATATAGCATATATAGCGTATATAGCGTATATAACGTATATAGCGTATATGGCATATAAAGTGTAATTAGCATAAATAATGTAATTAGCATAATTAGTGTATTTAGCATAAGTAGCGCATTTAGCAGATAGGGAAAAAGTATATAAGTAATGCATTTAGAATAGAAATAGAGAATAGAAGAGAATAGACAGGACGTAGAATATAGTAATAAATATCCACCTTATACTCGCCAAATCCAACGCCTCTTTTAAGTGTTGTGACACCCTATGTTATACTAACAACATATCGGCTACCCTATGAATAAGAAATTCTAAGGTAGTTCTGGTCAGTATCCTTACAATATATAACATATACTATAATATTTATACTAAATATATATAAAAAAATGCCAGTTTAAAAATTTTGCAGATCATGTGAAATATGTACAGTTTAAACACAAGTTAAAAGTTTAATAAAAAAACTTTTATTCAAGAATAAACTTTCTGTTATCTTTTGCTTTACAAAAGATAATTTATGCTTTTGCTATAACTGCCACCTTTGCTATAGCATTTTCTTTACTAAAGCTAAAGCAAAAAATATTTAATTAGTTTATTCTGACCCTACTCTAAACCTAAACAAGAACTTTAATTTAATTTGGCAATAGATATTAATCGTATGTATATTATTATTATGATCACTTAATCTGTGAAAAATTTTTTTGCATCTTTACAATCGGCTACAAAAGTAACAGTACATAATATCTAATACTTATTAGAGATGTATATATATAATATTATTTTTGTAGCTGAGGTTTATCATTACATATTACTGCATTATACTATCAAATTAAACCTGTAAAAGATTATTGTTATGCTGTTAATACTGTAATAAAGCAGATAAATTATATGTAGCAGTACAGTACATTTAAACCAGTTCCAAACTTATGCCCCATTTACTAATTAGTGCCTTTTTCCAAACATGTTGCAACATTATAACCTAGATTCTTACAATAGCTACAATGATTGTACTTTTATTTATTAGATAAGCCTTTTGTATCCTTAGATTTTTGCTGATTTTGCTTATTAGACAAAGTTTTAGTATCCTTTGGTTTTTGACTTTGGTTATTATTATAATGTGTGAATGCCTCTGGTCTACCTCTAGTAGCAACTTTTAGTAGGTTTCTAAGTTTAAAGGCTGGTGTGTTCTCTTTATTTGACTCATTATTTAACTTGTCACTTAACTCATCATTCTTTAAATCAGATATTTGAATTTGGGTAAACTTCTTTTTACATTTATATATATTAGATAAATAAGTCTTAACTATATTAACAAACTTATTGTCTTGATATAGTAGATATTTACTTGTTGTTTTACATACTAGCCCCCATACTTCTCTATAAAACATATGTTTTTTATAAGGCCATCATTGTGATCATTTGTGTGATTTTGCTCATCATCAGTTAATGGTTGAAGATATCTAAAGTGCTAATTAGTTTGATCTAATTCGTTATCTACACTAGACTCATCCATAAATCGTTGTTCATAAAAATTAGGCTCTTTTATTGCATTATTGTAATATTTTCTAGGTATCCATCAGATGCTAATAAGTTTAAACTAAACTGTGCTGCCTTAGTAATATTTAGAAGATAAAAGAAATGCCAGCAAACAAGTTTCCACTTTTGCTGTAACAAGCATTTACAACTATAGGACCCATTAGTAAAACAAAAAATTACATAATTTACATTATGTTCTGTTAATCTAGTAATATTCCAAATTTTATTAATTTTTTTCTGATCTAGTTATTGCAAAAGGAATTGTGCACACATGAGTATGCCATCAGGTTCATTTTTAAAATTCTTATTTTCAGATAGATTATTCATAAGTGTACATTTAACTTCTTCTATGTTATAACAAAAAACTATATAAAAAACACTTTCTTTCATTTGGCTAATGACAAATTTTACTATATTTGTCTGCAAATAATGACTAACAAGTGCTTCAATTTTCAGAAATACTGTTGATATATTAACTACTGAAGGAATTTCTCTGATATGTTCTTCATATTCTTTCTCTTTTTGAAATTCTCAATGTTATTAATTATAACTTTTCTAAGTTCATATAGAGATGTATTACTGCTTTCAATGATACATTTAATGCAAGCATTTTGACTTTTAACAAATATAGTTAATTTAATGCCAAGTGTAAAAATTGTTATAAATCCATATGCCCATGCTTCATGCCATTCATACAAGTGTTTTTGAAGGTATTGATTTGCTGTTGAATGATTTGCAACCATTTCATTCCATTAATGATAAAACAGATCAGGAGTATCACTGTTGTGGCACCTCCAGAATGCAGAATAAAAATCAGAAAATGATGCTCCTAATTTTCCACAAAACATTTTTTTTAGATTTTCTTTTAAATGCCAGATACAGAGGATGTGATGAGTTGTAGGATATTCAGTAGAAATTGCACATTTTATAGCAGAGTTACCATCAGTGACAAACACATTAGGTACTCTCTTGTGTTGCTTTCTTTGTCATATGCAAAACTCATTGGTATGACTCTGTAGTTTCATCACTTAATAGGGCTTGTGCAACTATTCTTGACTTCATATTGTTATTTTGAACTACAAAAAGTGATAAGGGCATATAGTAATGATTTGTACTTGCTATATTATTATGTCCTATCAATTTACTAAACTCATACCATAGTGTGATTTATTCTAGACTCATCCAAAATATACTTGTAAGTGTAGTTGTTTTAGCCTCTCATTTTGCTTCTATAAACCATTTAGGATCTTTATATTGTCTTACTAACAACTTCTTATAAAACTGTGCAGTGTCATATTCATTATATCATGCTGATGGTCTTTGCCTTTGTATTTCTACGTAAAGGTCCTTAGAATAAAGAGGATAGTAAGAATACTTTTCTTTAAGAATTTTCCTATTAAAGTTGCATCTAAATGACACTTTTTTATATAAAATTCTATATCACACCACATTTTTTTTGTAAATGCTTTCATCTTTTCAAATTGCAACACTTTGAGACACATATCATAGTAGTGTATGTCTACCAATGTTATGCCAAAAACCCAAGAAGTTGAATTTTTTTTTAGAGATCCTGAAAGATTAATATGCAAACAGTTTTGCTTTACTGATTTTCTAAGATTTTTAGGTTTGCTGGCTGGTATTTAACAGAATAGTGATATTGAATTGTTCTTTTTTGTATTATTTTTTCATTTTCAGTCATATTAATAGTCATGTTTCAACCTATTCGTATCTTAAAGTTTTTAAACTCTGCATAACTTCATATATGACTTTTAGCTTGGTCAAAATCATCAAATGATTGACTTTCTTTAACTACTACCACTTCAACATTTTTATGCAGAGCTTCAATATTCATGACATCATGACAACTACTTCAAAAAAGCCTTCTATATTAATTTTATCATCCATGGCTTCAGGTAAGTTACTGGTTATGTGTTCACTATTTGTATTGTTTATTATTGTATAACTTTCTTAATAAATAAAGAATTAACAAAGATAATTATGCAAAAGTGACAAGGTGATTAAATAGAAGAATTGATAAAAATATTAAATTAAGAAAAAGTCAAACAATGTATGTAATTAATATAGAATTATACAAAAAAAAAAAGAGACAAGAAAATAGTGATGATTGATAAACTAAAAAAAAATTGATGTATATTAGAATTACATAAAAAGAAAAAGTAACAAAAAAAAATAGAAATGTGATACATGAAAAAAAACAAGACAAATAGAGATGTGATTAGCTAAAAAAAAATAAGGTTAATAGAAATGATCAATAAGCTAAAAATAAATGTAAAAAAAAAGATAATCGATAAGCTAAACAAAAATAACAAGAAAAACAAAGAAAAGATTAAATGATTGATTAGTAGCTTTATTTATATAAAAGATAGGATCATGCTATGACATAAACACTTGATTACAAAAATATTGGTGAACTATTAATTATTAGAATTCAGAATTATGTATTAATTTATTTGTAATAGTATATAACTAGAGTGCATCACAGTGTGTAGTGCAATTATTTAATAATTTCTAAAAAATAATATTAAAAAATAGATGACAAGTCTTCTAGGCAGATATATTATATTCAGTAACAGTATGAAGTAACAGATGTTGAATAGAAATGATTAATAAAGTTATTAAAATTATTATTATAAAGTATCTAGTTTAGCAATTCTGAAAAAGATGTGAACTGTAATTCAGATTTGCTTATATATTTACAAATATATTAAAAAGCAGTATAGATACTAAGTACAAGTTTGAGATTAATATTGCTCTTTAGTCTTGAAGCTGAAGTTCATTATATAAGTTAATATAGAGATTATTTCTCATTATAACAAGTTTAGGCTAATCTTGACTATTATTGCATATATAAAAGTATATTCAACATTTTTTTTAAAAAACCCAAATCTACATTTTTGTTTATTGATTCAGTTATTAACATAAAGACAATATAATAAACTACAATGTATATGTCTTGTAATTTGTTAATCAACTTAGTATAATCTTGCAGATTATCATATAGTTTATTATTTCACTTCTAATATAGATAATAATCAGAAATAGGTATATCTAAACATAGATTAACTTTGATGACTAAATCATTGAAGCAGTTTAACATTTTATATATTTTATTTTCATTACTTTTTATTTTCTATTAATCAAATTCTGGAGCATTATGTTTCTTACCAATTCTATGTAAATAAACACTATTAAAGTGTTGTCATTCAAAACAGTACTACCAATCAATTACTTTCTAGCATGGATGCAACACCTTATAAAAAATACTTCAAACATTTCTTAAAAAACAAAGCTGCTATGTAAGAATTATTTATAAGATTTTGATGATGTTGTTTTGCAGATTCTGTATTATTTTTACTATTTACAAAGTCATTTTTATAAGACATAAGATCATAAAACTCAGGTTAGTATAAATTCACAGTACTAAAAGTAAAAAAAATTTAGGTCTTAAGATAAAAAAAATTAGTTTTTAAGACCCTAGTTGTTTGATCATATTTGACAGTTCTGAACATCTTTTTATTCAAAAATGTTAACTTTTTTATATAGCTTTACCAAACCTTATAACTCTGTCAATCAGATTATTGTTAGATTAAGCCATTTCTAATACATCTGCAACAGTAAGTAGATTTTTAATAAAATTTTGTTTAATAAATATTTGCTTTTTATGTAATGCATACTAATACATTATAGAATTTAAAGCAAAGTATCTCTATTTGAAATGTTATACAAACCTTCTATCTTTGTATTTTAATAGATGATAAAAGTATTTGGCAAGTTTAATCTCTTTTATATATTCAGAATGCAAGTCTGCATGTTTAGTTAGATATAAAGCTAGAAAGGCACATGTTATATATTCTGCAATATGAAATTTATTAATTAAGTTATTATCTATATTTGGCTATTTTATATTAGTATCTTCATTTTGTTAATTATTTTACATATAACTAAGAAGTATTTTTAATAGCATGCTTTTACAGTTATCAGGAAGAGCAATTGGAATAAAAGATCTTGTTATTATATCATCTTTATTATTTTTTTAGTCAATTATACTTAGACTTATATTATTAGAATCTATTTTGTTAATAGGTTAATTATTATTAAGCTATAGAATTTGTTCTAAAATAATACTATTTTTTGGCAAAGATTGAAGCACACTACTATAAATAATAATATAACTATAATAGATGTTATTTTTCTTTAACTATTGTAGTATTTGTGTAACTTTTCTTCAGCAAACTTTAAAATCTTTAAATATTAATTCATTTTTAGACTGCTAACATACAACTATAATTTTAAGAAATAAAGAATAATGAGGAAGTTGCATAGTAAATTCAGCTACATCTTGTAAAAAATTAATTATATTTTTACAGTATCTATATTGACCTCCTTTAAGAGTATATATTAACATAATAAGAAACACTTAAGCAATTAGCATCTCTTTTATATTAGTTAAGTCTTGTAATTTAGTAAATACATCTCCTAGATCTATATTATTATCTAATATGTATTTTTTTATTTGTCCTTTATCATTATAATAGCATTGATATTCACTTTTAACAAGATTAATTATTAGAAAATATTTATTACACATGAGACAATATAAATTCTTAAGTTTAGTTATATAATTATGAAATTTATCTAAAAGTTGTCTATTATATTGTGTTAATTTCTAAACATTATTTATTGAAAGCTGCTCAGTTGGAATAGTGTCTAAAATTGCTTATTTATTTATTTTTCATTCATGATACTGTTGTTATCTTTCTTGATCTTTTCTTCTTCAAGAATTATGTTCTTTTGAAGTTTCTCTTTTTTGATGTTACCAGTCTCTTATATGTCTTCTTTCAAAATAGGCATACTATTTAACTAATGTTTCTTGATTATTATGCTGTTAACTTATTTAAAAATAAAATATAATAAACAAATCTGAATATGTTAGACATTATTATGACTAATTGCTATAAAATAAATTAAAACAATATGTAATCACTATTTAAAACTTTGATGATATTTGAAATAATTAATAATTGCATTAATTTTATGTTGAGTAAAAATTACATTTAATAGTGTTATTTTATTAATTTATTATTATTTTTTTTAATATTAAGGTGAGTACATGCAATCTAAAATTTTATTGGTAGTATCAGTTGACTAGCATTTATTAATATAACAGTACAGAGGCAATCATAAAAAGAGTGTACAACTAGTCACTTATACAACTTTAGTTATTAACTAATTTAAGTAATCCATCTGAAGGTTCTATACTAGTTGCTATATCTAGAACCCACCTGTAGGTCCTTTATTTAAATATTCTGATCTCATATCTACTATACTCTATTATTTTATTAATTTATATATTAGAATAATTGTTATTATCAAATACTTTATAACTTTTTATTTATTCAGATAATAAAGACAATATTAAATTTTCAAAGAAAAAATTTAATAGTAATATATAATACAACATTAGATGCTAATTCATATACAATATCATTGTTTTTATTAATTACTTTCTCATTACTTCATCATTTGTTGAAATTGAAGAGGATTATTTTTTTTATATCTTTAAAATATACTATATATTTTACAGAAGTATATTGTCTAAATAATAAAACTTTTACACCAGTATAAACATCAATATAGAGGCAACTGTGATAGGTCTGAACTGTAAATTCTTCACTTTATTTCAAACAATAAGTCATTCAAATTAAAAATGACCAAGTTATTAGTATGTTAAAAATTATAATTATGAATAATTAGTTATAAATTAAAAAAAAAATTATAATAATAATATTTATAACTGTATATTTATTGTTTTATAGTTCAAAATTTTCTATTGTCAAATTATATACTTTGTATATCAGGCTTTGTATCTTGTAATAGTTTTATGCCTTATTGTTAACTCTGCATTTACTAAGGTTTCTATTGTTAATAATGATATTCTAAATATGTTTAATAAAAGCACAATCATTGCTTTAATTCTGTTAATAAATTTGTAATTAAAATCTGCAAAAAAATAACAAAATAAAACTAATCTTTTTTTATTTTTTTTATTAGTCATATGACTTTTAGTCTGTGAGTTAATTCCTGTTACCAATTGATCAAAAAAATCTTATAAAAATGATTCAGTCTCCTCAAACATTTCCTTAAATTTATTTGAGTTATAAATAGGTTTTTTATTATATACACACTGTCTTGTATATAACACATCTACTATTAACTTAATTTTTTTTATTAAAAGAGATCACTTTACAATAATAATTATAAATTAAATTAAATTTTAGTTAAAATATAATAAAAAATTAAAATTATTACTTAGTTTTGCTTCATCAAGCTTAACACATACTTTGTAATATATAGACTCCAATTTCTGGAATTTAGATTTAGAATAAATGATGATATTACATAAACATATAACCTACCTTAAAATTTTTTCACATTCTCTTTTGAAATCTTTTCTGGAACTGGTAGATAATTAGAAAAGTTAATATGTTCTAGGTTATTATCAATTTTATATAAACAATGATGACACATAGTCACCCCTTCTGACAAATTAAAAATTTAATTAATCATTCTGATATTTTTTTTAAAATTATTACTTCTAAATTATTTTGAACTGTAGAAATATAAAAATCATGTTTTGAATATGAACATATGTTAATTTGTTTATTTTTTTTTTGTGTTTACTATTAACTTATTATAATGTTTTTAACACAAAACTTTTCCAACCAAGTTCAAATATTAACTTGAACTTGGTATTGTTACTTTTTAGATACAATAGTTGCTCTATTCTTTTTAAAATCACAGTCAACACCCTCTTGACCTTTTAGATTATAGTATTGAATTTTTCTCTTTCTTCTTTGTGTATTAGATGTAATGATAATTTTGTT